CGGACACCAGGCTCCCACGGGTGCCCACTGCTCCAGCGTCACCCGCCACCTCCATCTCAGCTCATTTGGATGCGTAGTGGCCTGTCAGATCCTCTGGCTGTTGGTTGCGAGGAGAAGGAGGATGGTGATGCCAGGGAGGGAACAAAGGGCAGAAGTGACCCAGTCCCACCGGGCAGGTCCCCTGGCAGTGATTCCCTATAGGGTGGCTCTCTCTCTAGGCTGTTGGGGGGCTCTGAATTTTGGTGGGGGACAGTGCCCGAGCAGTCAGGAGGTGGTTTAGCAATGAGTGCTGACCCCCTTGGGCTGTGGGACACCTGTGGTTTGGCCATGGGTGCCATAGCTGGGGTTTTGTGGGGTGACGGTGATGGTGAGTACCGGGACACCCCAGGCAGGGTCTCTTATGACCCTGGGGCTGTCACCATATCCTTGGGGTAGGGGGAGGTGGGTGGGAGTTGTGGGGTGGATTTGTGGGTGTTATGGGGGTGGAAACGTGGGTGGTGGGGAGATGGGGGTTGGATGGGCAGGTGTAAGTGTGCCACAGGGATGGATGGGTGTTAAAGGAATGGGTGTCGTGGTTTTGGATGAGTGCTGTGGGGATGGATGGGTGTTGAATGGTGGATGGATGGGTGTTGGAGATGATGGATAGGTGCTGTGGGGATGGATGGGTGTTAGGGGGTGGATGAGTGAATCTTGGGAGATAGGTGTATGGGTGATTTTTTGGGTGCCCGGGATGTGTGAATGGATGAATGGGTGTTGAGGGGTGGGCAGATGGGTGTCAGAAGCAGGAGCAGATGCCTGGGTAGCTGTTTGGGTGTGGGGTGAGTCACGGAGGGCAGTTGGGCAGCGGTGGGTGCTGTGTGACTGTAGGCAGAGTGTAGGGGTGCCATGGGGGCAGCCAGGGACAGGGGGAGGTCTGGGTGACACGAGAGCCAGTGAAGGCAGTCACTGAGCACCGTGTGGTGGGCATATGATGATGCCAGGGGTGCCAAAACTCCCTTTTTGGGGTGTGCAGAGGCCAGGGTGGTTTCTCCCCGGCAGGATGCGGCAGCCCTGGGGTAGGTTAGCTGATCCCCAAGGCCTGACATTTATAAACATCAGCCGCTCCCAGGGAATCAATACAGTTTAATAACCGGCGAGCGGAGACGGGAGACACATCAAAATGACACTCTGCGGCTCCGTAAATGTTATTCTAAATCATCCTCGCTGGGTTTATTACATTAAGCATACAGCAGCGGGCACGGGAAATTTATTCCATCAAAGGCCATCGTGCTGGTAAATGGGGCTGGTGGGTCGATGGAGGGGGCAGCCCCCCCGAAAATGGGGTTCCCTCCTCCCGGCTGCAGCAGGGATGTGGGGGACAGGGGGATGCTGGTTTTTGGGTCTTAATGCTGTCCCAGTCGCCTGGGTTTGGGTGAGCCAGATTCTGCCCCAGTGCAGAATATGGGGTGGATGTTTAGGGGACTGGTGACACCGTGAGGTGTCCCTCAGTGCCACCTTGTGCCACCCTGTGGCTTCTGGGGACTCAATCCCTTCCCTGGACCAGCTCTGCGCTGACATTTCTCTCCACGTTTCCCTGGAGACGAGGCGGTTGCTGTGGAAACCTCCCTCCTCTTCTCTCTTACCCATCGTCTTCCTCATGCTGAAGTGAGGGGAACTGGCTCTGCCCCCAGCCAGCCCTGAAATTTGGGGACCCCTCCCCAAATGTGCGCAGGGGGAAGCCCGAGATGGGGGTGCAGGCGCGCGCGGGGGCGATTGTCCCCGTGTGTGCCCGAGGCGTGTACGTGTGCGCGCACACCCGTGCCGTCATGCATGACATCTCGCCGTTGCCGTGACGACCCCATCGAGCACATGGCTCGGCTCCGCAGCATCGCGG